AAAACAGACTGCTGCTAGATAAAAGATTCCAGAGTATGGTTCCGTCTTTGGAAGGTTCCACACTGAAGTAGAGCTGAGAAGGGCTAGACCAGGGATGGAGAATCTGCAGCCCTCCACATGTTGTTGGTCTCCAGTGCCTATCACCTCTGACCATTGACCATGCCAGCTGTGGCTGTTGGGAGTTGTAGTCCGCAATATCTGGAAGGCCACATTCCCTATCCCTGGTTTAGAAGTTGAATTTATTTTCAGTGCCAGGACCGGGCCCTAGAAAAGATGAAACCAAGAAGAGAAGGGTGCCTCTGGTCACTGTGATAATTCTGTGTACTTGAATTGTCACAGATGGTGCTTTTTCCATTTCATTGCCATTAACCCCAATGATTACACCAGCAGCCTTTATTGCATGCTTATAGATCTGATAGATGAGACTAACACTTCATGAACGGAACAAAGTAGACTCTGGTACATGAAAGCTTATGCCAAAATAAATTTGGTAGTCTTTGAGAGAACACTGTGCGCTTTAAGTGTATGGCGCAGATGTAACCATAGTGAATTTTCCTCCCATTGTAACTAATGAGAGGGTGGTGGCAATATCACCCCACCGACACGGCTCTTAAAACTGGTTGTGTTCACAGTTGTTATTGCAGAAGATGCAACTTACTTTGTATATCCTATATCAGACACCTGACCCCAAGGAGCTATTTGCTCCAGTGATATCTCTGAAGGGTCTTACTGGATCTCTTGCAGAGGATGGTTTACTGCTTACTGTGGCATCTAAGGCAGGAACTGGTTTGGGGAATCAATAAAGATAAGTAGATTTATAGAGGGTGGATGTGCAATTTCTTAACCGAAAAACAGGCTATGTTTGCTTTTACTACAAATACTACAAATAGTCCAAATTTGCTTAAGAAACTATTTACTATCCACCTTTACCCCCTTTTCTCTGGGTCCTGGGAGCAAAACCACACGCAGTGTATAACTGTAGGCTGATAACCAATTTATTACAAGTTTTTTTTTTAATCACCCAGCTTTCAAAATATACAGAGGTTCTTCAGGTTACAGATGCTTCAGGTTACAGATGCTTCAGGTTACAGACTCCGCCAACTCAGAAATAGTACCTCTGGTTAAGAACTTTGCTTCAGGATGAGAACAGAAATCGCACGGCAGCGGCGCTGGGGCAGCGGGAGGCCCCATTAGCTAAAGCGGTACCTCAGGTTAAGAACAGTTTCAGGTTAAGAATGGACCTCCGGAACGAATTAAGTTCTTAACCCGAGTTAACACTGTAAATACTTCCAGGTAGGGCAACTAGGTCAGGCACTGGCTGTAAGGCCCAGTGACTCAGAAGGACCTCTTACTGGTCTAACCCAACTGTGCCACCTTACTGTCCTCTCAGGGCCAGACTAATACATTTTGGCACTTGAGGTGAGCTACAGAATCCCCCATTCCCTGCCACCACTTAGAAATATAAGAATAGTATGTTGGATCAGGCCAATGGCCTATCTAGTCCAGCATTTGCTTCTCACAGTGGCCAACCAGATGCCTGTGGGAAACCAGGGAGCAGAACATGAGCACAAGAGCATACTCCTCTTCTGTGGTTTCCACCAACTGGTATTTGGAAACATGGCTGCCTCCAACTGTTGGAAGAAATTTAGTGAGATGGAGGTGATGATATGGAAGCAATTCTACATGCTATTAGCCTTCCAATTCTTATACCAAGAAACTCTTAAACCAAGAACCCCAGCTTTCCCATAAAGCTCACATGGCCAACTTGAGCAAATTACAACTGCTCATCCTAACCTACCCTATTGAACTGAGTAGACATGTATAAGGCACAATTTACAACAAAGGAATAAACACTCCACATGTTCCCTACAAAACCACCAGCTGCTGAACCATTGCAATTAAATAATTTAAAGTGGATTGGTTATTTTTCCCTTCAAAATTATAGGGAAGAGTAAATACAAAGTGCTTCGTATGTCAGATTCACAATTTCCCTTCATTTGGTGCAAGTATTTTGTTTTCAGTATAAACAGGACTCCATTTTTGTAGCTGATTGTATGCAGCAATGCCCTCTTTGTGTACTCACATTGTGTAAACATTTCTGTTGTTTGTTAGATCCCAGCTTTAGGCACGTGCATGCATGCAAACACACACACACACACCCCTACACATACAAACACAGCACACCTAAGCATCAGGGAGAAAGTGGGGAGCATCTCCCGACATTGCGCAGGCCGGTGTGGCCTACTGGAAGACTGCACTAGCCTGCGTGGTGTTGGGAGATGCGTGTGACATCACAAAACCTGCAGTATCTCCTGACATTGAGGGGGCCAGGCACCCTTCAAGCAAAGAAACCTCAGCCCCCTAGAGTCAGTGAGCCTGCTGTGCGGCCACATTGCAGGCAGCAGATTCCAGAGGCACACTGGCCAGCAACAGTCTTTGTGGTCCTACAGCAGCTTAGTCAGTCAGGGCCATGGCAGTGGTGATGGTACAGGGTGGCCCTGAGAGCAGCAGATGGGGTGTGGGATGGGGTGGCACATGATTCACATGATTCACCCTAACCCTAACCCTCACCATCTTCCATCTAAGAATTGTAGGTCAGTATGCTTCATGAGGGGACGCGGGTGGCGCTGTGGGTTAAACCACAGAGCCTAGGACTTGCCGATCAGAAGGTCGGCGGTTCAAATCCCCGCGACGGAGTGAGCTCCTGTTGCTCGGTCCCTGCTCCTGCCAACCTAGCAGTTCGAAAGCATGTCAAAGTGCAAGTAGATAAATAGGTACCGCTCCGGCGGGAAGGTAAACGGCGTTTCCGTGCGCTGCTCTGGTTTGCCAGAAGCGGCTTAGTCATGCTGGCCGCATGACCTGGAAGCTGTACGCCAGCTCCCTCAGCCAATAAAGCGAGATGAGCGCCGCAACCCCAGAGTCAGTCACGACTGAACCTAATGGTCAGGGTTCCCTTTACCTTTTACCTATGGTTTACGACAGGGCCAGGTCCGGCAGTCACTGCTTGAGCTTCACTCATCCTGTCCTCAGCTTTTAGTGACAGTTTCTTCCTCCTTTCACTTCCCCAAATTCTTCTTATAGCAGTTCTAAGGAATAATAATGCCCAAGTGAGCAACACGATGCCACCAAGAGGTCATTTTCTTCTGGTTTACTTTGCCTCAGACCAGATCAAACTGCTTCCTTAATGCCGTAGTCACTATTGACACGTTATGCACATTCAATGCAAATAAACCTACTGGTGGTCTTCTTTTACCTTTTACAAGTTTTGAAAATATTTCATTGTCTCAGGGTATGATCCGGCTCAGACCTCTGGGCTATAAATTCCCAAGGCTGCTTTCTTTCAGCTAGCTTCAGAGCAGAGATACCATGGATCTCACTGCCTCACCTGCGTTCTTCTTGATCCTCTGCTGCTGCCTTGGGCTTGTGGAAGCCCGAGACTTTAATTCCGTCCTTTCTGTGACAAATGGAGGATCTTGGGGTAGCTGGGGGGTAATCCAGTTTTGCCCTCAGGGATATGCTTTTGGTTTCTCACTGAAGGTAAGGTTTCCTCCAGGGTTGCTGTCACCATCGGCTCACTTTGAAGTTCCTCCCTCCCCTTCTTTCTGAACACCTTCTGAAGATGGGGAAACAATAGGGAACTGATGGACTCTTAAGTCCAATAGTCCTCTGCCTTGTCTAAAATATGGGCAATAAGAGGTTGAGGAGCCAGATGGTAATTTGGGCCGCCGAGTGAAATATATTAGCAACTTATGCAGCAGTGCTGTTTTTCTAGAAAAAGAGGTGTCTTGTTCTCTTAGAATGGCAATAGTGCCCACTTGAGAGCTGCCGGAACTGAGTTCTGGCACGTTCTGGCTGAAAAAAAGCCCTGGTATGCGGGCAGATTATTTGGTGGTAGGGCAGTGCATCCTGTTTCACTGCTTGAGGCAAAAGGGGAAGATCCACTTTGCCCAACTTCTGCTGTCACTACCACCATGACCTAACTACTCCAGCCGACACCGCCTTCTTTGCTGCCACTGTGCTCTCAGCCATTGGTGTTATGGGGGCAAGATTATGCCAATTTGGGGTGAGATCTTGCCCCAAATGTATGTGGTCTTGCTCAAAATTGGTGCCAATGGTGGTGGTGCTTCTCTGCCGATAGTGGAGACAGCAAGGGAGGCGGGGCACCCTTGGGCATGCTACATGGGGGGTTTCTGGCACCTGAAGCAGCAGCCTCACCCTGCCTAATGACTGGGCCGGCTCTGTTTGGTGGGACTGCTTACATGTAGGATGTTGTCCAACATATCTCCAGATATGTTGGACTCCCATCTCCCATCAACCGCAGCCAGCATGACAAATGGTCTGGGATGATGGGTGTTATCATCCAAAACATCTGAGAGGGATCAAAGTTGGGAAGCCTGCAGTATTGGAAGTGATTGCCAGTCTTCAAAAAAAACATCACTCAAGGTTGATAATTACGGCTGAATGCAGTGTGTTTCATCGCCCACCCACAAAGAATTGCATTGTGCAATTCAAAAATAAGCAACAAGAAATACATACTCTGACACACATACAGAACAATTGTTTTGCAGCAATGTCATGTTTTGGTTTGCATGGTGCGTTTATCTTTTAGATCTATTAGCATGATTCTTGTTCAAGGTGAAGGATATCCCGACTGAGTTCCCCGGCAAGGAGCGGAAAAGTTGTAAAGAAGAGCACAGGACCTTTAACTAATTTTGGCTGTGAGGGAAAGGCAGTGCTTGGAATGAACTAATTTGGTTTAACCAAGCTGATTGAGTTAATGCAAAATTCTGCACATGAAAGTGATCCCCATAATTGCCAGGAGAACGAAACATGAATTAAACTATTTACATTCCAGTGTGTTTCTTTTAAACGTCTTCATAGTTTCCTGAAGTATGTTTTATACTTCAGGACAGCAGCTTGCGACATTCTGAATGCTTAAATTTTTTTTTTGCTGATGATCATTTCAAGGAACTTTAACTGAGTTTCACATGGGCTGTATGGCTGGTGTGATAGCTCAATTGGTTGGGCATGAGACTCTTAATCTCAGGGTTGTGGGTTCAAGCCCCATGTTGGGCAAATGATCGCTGCATTGCAGGCGGTTGAACTAGATGACTCTTGTGTCTTAAGAGACTTAAGAGAATGGATAATTCTAGCTGAAAACTGTTGCATCCATGTCACGTTAATTGAACTTAGATCTCATTGAATTCATGATTTACTTTTGACGTTGATTTTTGCAGTCCTTGGTTTAGCTTCAGATTTATCTCAGTCTCTTCGTCTCTCTTCCCACTAGGTAGAGCCACCCCAAGGTGGTGGTTCCAAAGAGGATGATACAGCCCTGAATGGAATTCGCCTGCACTGCACTGACAGTTCAGTAATTGAGTCTGCAAGCGGATCGTGAGCATCTCTCTTGATTTCATTTCCTTTTTGTTGCAATTTTTGGGAAGGTGTTGGTGGGAGGGGCTGAACTGAAATTTGTTATGCTAGGTTAGACCAGCACAAAGAAACCATAGGGTTCGCCTTGCTTTTTCTGACCTCTCAAATGGCACCAACTCTAGCCTTTTGCTGGCTTCCAACTCAACTTTGCAGGACCCCAAAATTGATAGCAGGCCTGGTTTTAGAGGTTGGCACTGTTGGTCACTTGCCAATTCCTGTATCCCAATAGGGGACCCAGTACAGATTCCTTGAGCTTTCTTATTTAGCTGCAACTACTTCTTGCTATCTTTACAAGTTCACTCGATCTCTTTGAGCAAGGGACAGGAGGAAGGACAGGGAGCAGCAGCCTCTGGTTATCTTGCCCTCTCCCTCTTGGTCTGCCACAGGTGTTGGACTCAGAGAAGCAGTTAAGTGAGAGGGCAATGATGAGACTTAAGAAGGCAAACATTTTACCCAAGACTAAACCTGGATCTGTCTCTGCCTCATGGAAGCCAAGAAACAAATAGAGATAAATGGAAACTCCAAGTCTGTTAAAGAAACAAGGCTTTTATTCAGAAAACACCATATTCCAGTCGGGAGGGATCAGATATTTGTTTATTTAATATTTACAATCCCCAACATTTCAAAAAGTTCTAAGCAGTATACAGTCTAAAACGCCAAACAATATATCCTTAAAACATAAAACAAAACCTAAAACCAATAAAACAGGAAGGCACTATGCCTCAGAAGAGTTCTCTCTAGCTCAAAACAAGTTGAGCCCCAATAAATGGATAATGGTGTGCTTTTTGAGACTCTCTCCTCTTTTCCAGTAAACAAATAATTGTTCTGGACTATTTCAGGCCCAGAAGATCTTAGACTGTGTTGAGCAGTATTTATTGGAAATGATACATTAAAGTGACAATTAACTGTTTCACAGACTCAGACAGCAACAATGCCTGCTTCTGGGTTCCTGGAGAACTGTTTCTGCCCTCACTGGGAGAAGGGAGTGTTGGGGCAGAAAGGAGGGGCAGAGGCAATTGCTTTGTGAAACTTTGGATGCAACAATGCAGAGCCCTAGCCCTTGAGACATTGGGGGCATCCTCTTGGAATATTCACATGGACCTGATCTGTTTAGGTGTAAGCAGAAGGCTCCCCATGTGTTACTAACTAACACCAGTGTTTTCTTTGGCAGGTGGGGAACCTGGACAGGGATTCAGTATTGCCCTCAAAGCAATCTGATCTCTTACTCTCTGAGAGTGGAAGGATACCAGGGCGATGGTGACGATACGGCCGCCAACAACATCCAGTTCACCTGTCAAGACGGAACTGGGCTGATGGGCCAGGGACTTAACTGGGGTAATTTTGGCCCATGGAGCAATCGCTGCTCCTCTGGTTATATCTGTGGGATGCAGACAAAGGTGGAGTCTCCCCAAGACAAGGGCGATGACACAGCACTTAATGATGTGAAGTTCTTCTGCTGTGATTGAACCCAATGTACCCCCGCCCTTTACAGCGTATCTCTGCTACTTTTTGGTAGTCGTGAAGGTTTACGACAATTAAATATTGTCTTCAGAATTGTGTGTGATTCTTTTGAACAGAATTCTACACCTATCACTTCTGGTTGAGAAGCAATGAAAAATACTAAAGAAGGGGCACAACTATGCAGGTGTTGGTTAACAAACAAAGACACAGTGTGCTGAATCACAGTCTGAATCCTTTCTGTTCGCCCTGAGACCTGACTCAAAAAGAGGCCACAGACATAACTGGTTACTCTCCAAATCAAGAGCCAAAACCTGGGTAAATAAAAATGCTTTTGTCTAGCACTAAGAGGGCTTCCTTAGCCCCACATTTACATTTTGGGGTTTCTTTTTTTTGGGCCTAGAACTGATTTTTTTTTTGTGGGAGGGGAAAGCAGTGTCATGGCTCTGCGAAGGCTTCAGTAAAGCTATTCCTCCCCTGGTTGCAACAAGAGCAGAGGAAACAAGGTAGAGTCCTTTTAAAATGAGTTTTAGTCAATCCTAATAGCGAGAGACAAAAGAAAGCAACAAGCCTCAATATTGGCGTTACTCCAAACTGGGCTCCTTCTCCCACCTCCCTTACTGTGGCCACTTGTGGTCAAATGTCTCTGATTCCATTGTTCCTGCACTTTTAATGAAGATCGTGTTCTGGGAGAAGGGGGATCAGAAATACTCTCCAGTGACAGCATGTCATCTGGCTGCCCTGCTACAGTGCCCTCCCCTTCTTCTAACACTGCCCAACTCTTTTGTTTGTCTAAGCTGTGATTTGTCTGAGCTGTGATTTCCCTCAAACTCTTCAAAGCCCTGCTGTAATTCAGTGCTGCCTCCCACTTCTCCTGACGCTACAGGAGAAAGGTGCGTGTGTGATCTCCACCACTCCTTCTCCTCCATCTCGTCCTCTTGAGTCCAATCCCTGACAAGCAGGGAATCACAATGCCTCTGTTTCAGATTTGAAAATCACCTGTGAGAGGATGCTTTTAAAGATGGCTTAGAAATGTCAGCTGGCAGAATGCAGCCGCCCGTGGGGAGCCAAGAAGTTGGCACACGTAATATCAGTGCTGTACTTGCTCTCCAACATTCCTCAGATGAAAATAGAGACTTTTTTTCTACATCAGTGTGCCCCCCTCTCCTGATGGAATATGGGGAAAGAGCAGGGCTGGCTGAACTGCCCAAACGGCTGTTACCAAGAGGTGTATGTCACAACACCGTACTGGCAAATGTCTTGGTTATATGATGATATATGGTAAAACCCCATGGTAAAATCAACCAGCTTTGGGTGTCAGAAGAGGCTTCCACACCAGATGATTCAAGGCAGCACTTCTGCGCCAGTAACATAGTCTCTATGGTCAGCAGCTATGACCCCTGCGTACCTGCGTGAGCCAGGCACACTTAGGCCTGTTGGCTAATTGCAGATTAGTTGCGCTGCAGAAGGCATGCTGGGGAGACCACACATTCAAGAAACGCAAAATAACTTTTGCTAGGTTTTAATAACGAAAACAAAAACTCCTTTTACACTAAATTACAATATATCAATAAGCATGACCCATCCACTAGGGTACAGGGAGAGCTCCATACTGCTCTTTATATACCATACCCAACAGCTTAATTACCAAAACTTAACAGCACCTGCTATATTGCTTCACAGCTGTAAAACTAGATCATGTGATTTGCTCTGGCCTTTAAAGAAATACACATCTTGTGAAGCAATAATGAACCCTCAAATTTAAAGAGACCATTCAACATGGCCGCTCCTGCCACTACCATCACCCTGATCAGATGCGTTGAGCGGTACCAACTGGTGGAGCTGAGAAGTGGAGCAGCAACAACAGCAGCTGGTGCCCAACCCCCTCTCCTCCCTGCAGGTCCCAGTGCATCACTGTGAGGGGTTGGGCCATCTCCTTCCCACACACTCGCCCTTCCCCACTCCCTGTCCCTGCTTGTAGAATTTGGGACTCTGTACAAGGCTGCATTAAGTTTTAGGCAAAATAAGCATACACCTATCAAGAGAAGGGGGCACCACAGAAATTTTCCATTGCCATGGACCATATATTGCAGCTGAGGGGAAAAGGCTCCCACAATAAATGGAAGAATTACAGGCATATATACTATCACAATAGCAGTAAATAATAATAAACAATAATAAAATAGTAATAATAGAGATTAATCAATACAACAAAATTAGACCCTGGTAACTGGTAAAATGCCACTCGTTCCACCGAGGCTCACATGTTTATATTTTGAATGAGATATGTATGGGGGCACTCAAATCTTTTAAGTGTTTAGGGCAGAGCTTTCCAAACTTTTCATGTGGGTGACAAACTTTTGAGACATGCATTGTTTCGCAACACAATAATTCAGTTTTACTAGCAAACTAGCCCCTTTCCAACCCTGGGAGGAGCACGGGGAGCATTTGCGTGACACACCTACTGTCATGCGTCCAAGTTCCTGGCTTGATAGCACAGTAAGCGTCGTTAATTAAAAAGGAGAAATTATTGCAAAAACAAACGGATAGCTCCGGACGTCTGTAACATAGCCTCTGGCATCATCAATCAAGATGACCCTTCTGAAGACTGTTTCTGGGTTCTGCAGAAGATACTGAATCTTTGGACCTTGCATCGTTTGTTTTGTTTCCTGTCTAATAGCCCACCCCTTAGCCGACTCTTAGGAGAGATTGGGTCAGCTCTAACCTCTTCCCGGTTGACAGACTACTTCCTTCTCTGTTCCTGCCTGATTGACTTTGGCTGGGTTCCAGCATGCTTGTAGTCGTCCCCTTATCAACCGGGATTCCGAGGGGCACAGGAGCTAGTTCTTCCTCCTGCATGAGAGTTAACCCTCTTTGTTCCATGCTGCTTTCCTCAGCTGGCTGCAAATCTTCACTGGGAGCTGGCTCATTCCTGACACCTACACACTGCGGCTGACAAACGAACGCATCAGGACACAAAGTTTGGAAAGCTATTGTTTAGGGCTTCTAAAGGTCTTAATCTGGCCCTGACCCTGCATGACATAATGAAAAGCTGTGATGGCTTAAGTGTTTTTGTGGTGATCTCGGCATTTTCAGGGCAGTTGGAGACTGTGCATTGGTGACCTATTCATTTCTAGACCCCATTTAAAGAGCAGGACATTGGTTTAAAGCTCTAGTAGGTTTGGGACCAGGTTATCTGAAGGACTGCCTGTAGCCATTTGAATGTGTCTAGCCCTAGAGATAGGTTTCTCCCATTGAGATATATTGCATCTGTGGGCCCATGCCTATGGGATTCTCTCATTAGGCACTGCACTAGTGGCCCTAGACAAATTATTTATAATTCGGGGGGAGGGGGAGAATTATACAGTGTCAGCTAAATTCTACATATCTTGTGTACATTTGAAAGAATGTATGGCGAATTGTATTGAATAGACTTGTCTTTGATTTGCACTTATTTTCTTTTTTCAAAATACCATATATAATAATGTAATGTTGTCAAGCAAATTTAATAAAATAAATAAACAAACAAAAAGCAAAACAAAAAATGGCTTCCTAAGACTATTGCCAAGCAATAAAATCTAAGACAGAAAAGAAATCAAAACCTCATAGAAGGCTCATGAGGCTCTTTAAGGGAAGCACTCTTTTCGCATTTAGAAATGGAAAACAAATGAATCAATAAATGTCATTCATTGAGGCCCATATTTCATAATTTAAGTTTCAGGACAAAATGGCTTCAAATAAATGAAATAAAATCAGCCCATGAGTACTGAATGAAAACGTTAAAACTGATCCAACTTCCCCTTGGTTTTTATTGTTAGAGGGTATGCTACAATAGTTTCATAATCTGTATTATATTATACACTATATTCACATGCAAGCAGGAAGTATCTTCTGCAGACAATTTGTGTGTTCCTCCATCATTTATTATCTCTGTGGCTTGCTCCTCCAAACGCCAATCTGTGACGTTACTCACTGGCTAAAAATACTGAAAATTGGAAGCAGGCTTATTTCTCACTAAGTAGTTGGACAGAATAGTGCCTCCACTTTCCCCCTCATATCTTGTCTTCTGGATATGCTAGATATGCTAGATCGGAATCCAGACTAGCTAATGGTCTAACAGGGAGTCAGTATGGCCATTGTATCAGATCTTCCTACTTAGCCATGATGCTCACAGCGTGACCTTTGGCCAGTCACTCCCTCTCAGCCTAACCTACCTCACAGGGTTGTTGTGAGGATAAAATGGGAAGAGAGAAAAATGTCTGTGCCCCCTTGAGGTACATGGAGGAAAGCTTAGAATTGGAGATACTGTGTGTTTATGTGTGTGTGTGTGTGTGTGTGTGTGTGTGTGTTTCATTGCTTCCCACCCAAAAGTGATAGGTGCAAAATTAAGTAATTAAAATGAAAAGAATCACACACTACTTTCATGCCAATATTTAATTGTGGTTAACATTCATGACTGCTGAAAAGCAGCAGAGATACAGGGAGGTACTTGGGGTTCAGCCACTGCAAAAGAACTTCACATCATTGAGTGCTGTGTCATCGCCCTTGCCTTGGGGAGACTCCATCCTTGTCTGAATGCCATCAATGAATCCGGAGTAGCAGCGACTGCTCCATGGACCAAAATTACCCCAGGAAAGTCCATGGCCCATCAGCCCAGTACCATCTTGGCAGGTGAACTGGATGTTGTTGGCTGCAGTATCGTCACCTTTGCCCTGAGGTTTTTCCACCCTCAGAGAGAAAGAGACTAGATTGCCACGGGGGCAATACTGAATCCCTGTCCAGGATCCCCACCTGCCAAAGAAGACACTGACCGTTAATTAGAAATGGGACAGGAATCTGCTTGCTCCAAAAGGGATCAGGCCATTACTAGCATTACAGAAGGATGCTCATAGTGTCTCAAAGGCTTTGCATTGTATTCAAAAAGCACCTGCTGCTGCTCCTTCCTTCCCTTCTACCTTCCACTCCTGGTGAAGGCAGAGAAACCCATGATCACAGAGTCAGGTATTATTGGTGTGTGAGTCTATGAAACTGTTAAATTTCACAGTCTGCAATAAATATTGTTTGACACAACCTAAGATCTTCTGGGTCTGAGATGACCCAGAATAATTATCTGTTTACTGGAAAAGAGGTGGGAAACCTGAAATGGGGAGAAGTATCAGTTTATTGGGGCTCAACTTGTTTTGAGCCAGGTAGCTCTTCTGAGGCAACAGAACCCTGAGAGGATGTTAATAGGACATCAGAAGATGCAATGTGTGGCATGGGACTTTGGCCCTCCACTTCTTTCTCAAGAAGAATGAGAAACCAGCAACTAGGGACTGGGCCAGAGGGAGCAGTTGGTCAAATTCAGGGATCTCCTATCAACAGGATCTTGGAGAGGTATGGAATAGTGGGTAAGCGATACTATCTTAGGAAGAGAGGTGGTAGACACTTGACGTTGGTTGCCACTGCTCAACCACCCCCCAAAAGAGAACTGGGTAGCCATGTTGACTTGCCCTCCTATTGGGTGCTGATCTAACCCAGCCTAACAAATTTCAGTTCAGCCCCTTCAACCAGTATCTTCCAAAGAATTGAACCAAAGCGGAGAAGAAAGCAAGAAAGCCACTCACGGTCCAACTGAAGACTCAATAACTGAACCATCCGTGCAGTGCAGGCGGATTCCATTGAGGGCTGTGTCATCACCACGGCCTTGAACTGACTCTACCTAGAGGGAAAAGAGATGCACAGAGTGTGATAAATTTGAACTGCTGAACTACTGACATCAATCTAGTATATATTTTGGGAAATGGTTTTTCCATTTGTATGCTCTCTATTAGTATGGCCGCCTCTTGAGATAGTGTCACCAAACCTGGCCCTAATGGTTCCTGAGGTGAGGGTCTTTGTGGAATTTCGGGTACCATGTGCCATTTTGAATCCAAATAGCAGACCAAACTATGACTTGGCAATACTGCATTACATTTTTTCTGTGTTCCAAAATTTGAATAATTTCCATTCCATTCCATTGAGTTAAAATAACCCCTTATATAACAGCTACAATCTTGTGATTTCAATTAGTGTTGATATAATAGGTAATTTATAAAGTTTCAAGTGAGGAACTTTAGCTGTAATCCTTATTCTTTCCTGCCTGTGATAATTTTTTCCATGATGCTTTCCCATCCGTATAATAATGCAATAATAATTTATACCCCGCCCACAGGGCCGGATTTAGGTTTGATGACGCCGTAAGCTATTGAAGGTAATGGGGCCCTTTATATGTCCTGCTGTCCTTTGTCAACAACAAATTGCCGCTGTTTTTTGTGTTGAATATCTGCTATATGGTCATTTAAGGAACTTAAACATAGCTAAAGCCATTTGCACATAACAAAATATGTATTTTATCAAAGTAATTGTTAAACTTAAATTTTGGAAATGTACATCCAGGTTTTTTTCCATTTAATTTTTTGAGGGGCCCCCAAGAGAGTGGGGGCCCTAAGCCATAGCTTGTTTAGCTTATACGTAAATCCGGCACTGCCCGCCCCCCGGCTGGGTTTCCCAGTCACTCTGGGCGGCTCCCAACTGAATATTAAAACATAATACAGCATTAAACATTAAAAACTTGCCTAAACAGGGCTTCCTTCAGATGTCTTTTAAAAGTAAGGTAGTTGCTTATTGCCTTGACATCTGATGGGAGGCTGTTCCACAGGGCAGGCACCACTACCAAGAAGGCCCTCTGCCTGGTTCCCTGTAACCTCACTTCTCACTATATGGTGTTGTATACAATATGGTGTTATATACAATGATACAACACTATATGGTGTTGTATCCTTTATTCCTGCAACTGTTGGTTGCAGGAGAAGCTGGTTGGTTGGGAGAAGCTGTTCTCTTACAGTTTCCAAAACTCACTGCATCGCTTTGTCCCATGATTCAGCTTCCAGTAAACAAGCTGTCTTTGCTGTTTTTCCAGCCTCGGAAGAACAGTCTGAATCCAGACTGCAGATAGTTAATCCAAAAACTTCTCTTCTTGCAGCTGGCAGACTCCTTTCCTCCCTGCCGCTTATTTATGACCATTTATCCTTATCTCCTTAACACATTCCTTTGTGGATAATGGAGGTTAGGGAGCATTTGATAGCAATTCTGGCCATTTGGCCTAGCATCTCCTTAGTTAGGAGTCCATCCCTGTCCTATTGCTTCCCCACATTTCATGTTGAGTTCAAAAACTGTGTTCTGGGGAGTGTTCAGACAAAAACGAAGGAGGAGAGAGAGATCTGATTGTGACAACAGCCTAACAGCAAACCTTACCTTCAGTGAGAAGCCATGAGCATATCCCCGTGGACAAAATTGGATCGTCCCCCAAGTGCCCCATGGTCCTCCATTTGGCACTGTGAGGATAGAATTATAGTTCTTGTCTTCTGCATGGGCAAGGCAGCTGAAGAGGATCAAGAAGAGCATAGTAGTGATGGTGAAGTCCATGGAAAGCAATCTATTCTGAATCAAGGTGGAAAGAGTCCATCTAAGAATAGCAGCCTTGAGAATTTATAGCCCAGAGACTTGGGCTGGATAACATCTGGAAAACACCTCAGAAATAATAAACAAGGCGGCACCACTTGTAGATAGATTTGCATGAAATACCTATTGTGCGTCAATGTTGGCTATGGAGTTAAGGAAATAGTTTGATTCTGATAAGCTTCTCAGAGTAGCAGGGTATTTGAGTTGGAACCTCTTCAAGCCAAAATAAACCTGCAAAAAGTAAACTATTCTGTCTTGATGACGTCCTGCAACTCACTTGGGTACTATATCCATTCCCTTAGAACAGCTACAATGAGAATTCAGGACAGAGGAACTGTCACTAAATGCTGAAGTTAGGAGGTGTGAACGTTCAGTGGAGACAACCAGGAGTGGCCCCATCTTCAGTCACTTAGATGGTGGCAGACTGAATGGCCAGCCAGCCAGCGGATCATGGGGCCACTGTTGTTGCTGGCCAGTGTGTCTTCTCAATCTGCTGCTTGCAAAGTGGCAGTGCAGGTCTCCTTCAGGTCCTTCCACCCCATAATTACAATGAGAAATCAGGTAGGGGAGCAGTAGGATGTCCAAGACTAGCAACCTTTCTTAACTTCTTACATGCTTATATAGTGCAGCCATTTCGAGCCATTGTATATAAACACTTACATAAAGTGGTGACAAAGGCATTCTTCAGAGCGCCCTCACCCACAATGCCTCACTCTGAGGAAGGACCTGACGGAAACCAGCACTGCCACTTTGCAGACAGCAGATTGAGAAGACACACTGGCCTCCTCTTTCCCCCTTCTAAAGGTAGCGCTGAGTGGTGCAGTGGAAGCGGCAGGGATCTCATGCACTGCTTACCATTCCCGGTGTAGATCATCCACCAAGGCCATCTCAGTCTGTTTGCAGGACTGAAAACCAGTATAATTCAGAAATCCCTGGAGTTGAGTCTTCACCGCTTGCTTGAACGCCTTCTCCCAAAGTGATACATTGAAGACTGGCGCTTCATCAGCCATGGGAGCAGTTCTAGCAGTAGAAGAACAAATGACATGAAAATGGTCAATTTTGGAGTCAATTTGGGTGTACCGTGGATTCTGTAAAAAGAGCATCTACTTTCTCTCCTCCACACCCTTCCCTCTGGCTGCCAGGAGCTGCAGAGCAGATGTCATTAGATGTGTCGTGCCAGCTGAATTTACAGGTTTCTGCTTGGTGTGCTAGCAGAGATCGTGCTGAAGCACAAAGGATCAGGGAACCAGGGAGCAGAACATGAACACAAGAGCACGCTCCTCTTCCGTGGTTTCCAGCAACTGGTATTTGGAAACATGGCTGCTTCCAGCTGTGGATCAAATTTAGTGAGATGGAGGTGATGGTGTGGAAGCAATTTTGCTTTATCTGAAAAAAGAAAACGAAAACCAGACATCTTCTACTTCTTCTTTTAAACGTTTTATTGATTTTACAAATACCATGTACAAATAAACACAAATTAGTAAAAACATATCTGTATGAGGAGATTCTCCGAATCTCGAGACTTCCCCCCATCCCATCCATGGAGTCTTATTTTAAGCATTTACAACTGCATATTCATCCGCCATGAATCCTAAAGACTAACTGACATAAAACAACTTTTACAGTGAATAGTACTAGTTTAATATTTGAACAACATCCTCAACAGGAGAGAGGGAGAAATATTATCAATTTCTGGAAAGATAAAAGTATTGCACCATTTTCAGCTGTTGTGAAATATGTTTGCAGAACTTCCTTCCCCATTGAAGGGGGAAAATAATCTTATCAGCAGGATTGCTAAATATTTTTATTACTTTTTGAGTTTTGTAAGCCATAGTGACTTTTCATTTTGGAGCAAGCCTCTTAAAACAGGAAACCATGAGCATGATCAGGCAAATAGGGTAAGGTTAAAGGGTAAAGGGACCCCTGACCATTAGGTCCAGTCGTGACCGACTCTGGGGTTGCGGTGCTCATCTCACTTTATTGACCAAGGGAGCCAGTATACAGCTTCTGGGTCATGTGGCCAGCATGACTAAGCTGCTTCTGGCGAACTAGAGCAGCGCACGGAAATGTCGTTTACCTTCCCACCGGAGCGGGACCTATTTATCTACTTGCACTTTGACGTGCTTTTGAACTGCTAGGTTGGCAGGAGCAGGGACCGAGCAACGCTGGCTCACCCCGTCACAGGGATTTGAACCACCAACCTTCTGATCAGCAAGTCCTAGGCTCTGTGGTTTAACCCACAGCGCCACCTGTGTCCCTTGATCAGGCACATACCAGAGAGTAAATGCTATCAAACTCAGTGGGACCTACTTCTGAGTAGGCATGTAGACAGTATAAGGCACAATTTACAATAAAGGAATAAACACTCCACATGTTCCCTACATAGCCACCAGCCCATGAACCATTGCAATTAAATAATTTAAATAATTTGCCCTTCAAAATGATAGGGAAGGGCAAATACAAAGTGCTTCGTATGTCAGCTTCACCATTTCCCTTCGTTTGGTTTAGGCATTTTATTTTCAGTATAAAACAGGACTCTCTTTTCATAGCTGATTGTATGCAGCAATGCCCTCTTTGTGTACTCACATTGTGTAAACATCTCTGTTGTTCGCTAGATCCTAGCCTTAGGCAGGTGTGTGTGTGCAAACACACACACACACATCCCTACACATACAAACACAACACACCTAAGCATCAGGGAGAAGTTGGGGAGCGAAGGGTTGCGTGACGTCATGTGTGTCTCTCGACACTCCACAGGCCAGTGTGCCTACTGGAAGGCTGCACCGGCTTGCGTGGCATTGGGAGATGCACGTGACACCACAAAACCTGTGGGGGCCAGGCCCCCTTCAAAAAAATATTGATAGGGCCAAAGAAACCTCAGCCCCCTAGAGTCAGTGAGCCTGATGTGCAGTCATATTGCAGGCAGCAGATTCCGAGGGCACACTGGGCCAAGAACAGTCTATGTGGTCATATGGCTGCTTAGTCAGTCAGGGTCATGGCAGTGGAGATGGAACAGGGTGGCCCTAAGAGCAGCAGATGGGGTGGTGGCCGTGTGAGATTCACCATCCCTCACCATCTGCCACCTAAGAATTGTAGGTCAGTATGGTTCACGACAGGGACAGGCCCAGCAGTCACTGCTTGAGGTTCACACATCCTGTCCTCAGCTTTTAGTGACAGTTTCTTCCTCCTTTCACTTATTATAGCAGTTCTAAGGAATAATAATGCCCAAGTGAGCAACACAATGTCACCAAGAGGTCATTTTCTTCTGGTTTACTTTGCCTCAGACCAGTTCCAGCCAAAAAACCCCCTTGCAGCTCCGAGAGGTTTAGCAGAATCAAACTGCTTCCTTAATGCTGTAGTCACTATTGACACATAATGCACATTCAATGCAAATAAACCTACTGGTGGTCTTCTTTTACCTTTTGCAAGTTTCGAAAGTATTTCCTTGTCTAAGGGTTCAGACCTCTGGGCTATAAATTCCCAAGGCTGCTTTCTTTCAACTAGCTTCAGAGCAGAGATACCATGGATCTCACTGCCTCACCTGCGTTCTTCTTGATCCTCTGCTGCTGCCTTGGGTCTGTGGAAGCCCGAGACTTTAATTCTATCCTTTCTGTAACAAATGGAGGACCTTGGGGTAGCTGGGGGGTAATCCAGTTTTGCCCTCAGGGATACGCTCATGGCTTCTCACTGAAGGTAAGGTTTCCTCCAGGGCTGCTGTCACTTTGAAGTTCCTCCCTCCCTTTCTTTCTGAACACCTTCTGAAGATGGGGAAACAATAGGGAACTGATGGACTCTTAAGTTTTTTAGTCCTCTGCTTTATCTAAATTATGGACAATAAAAGGTTGAGTAGCCAGATGGTAATTTGGGCCACCGAGTGAAATATATTAGCAACTTATGCAGCGGTGCTATTTTCCTAGAAAAAGAGGTGTCTTGTTCTCTTAGAATGGCAATAGTGCCCACTTGAGAGCTGCCGGAACTGAGTTCTGGTGACTTCTAGCTGGGGAAAAAAGCCCTGGTATGCGGGCAGATTATTTGGTGGTAGGGCAGTGCATCCTGTTTCACTGCTTGAGGCAAAAGGGGAAGATCCACTTTGCCCTACTGCTGCCACCACTACCTCAACCACCTACCTTGCCCAAAATCAGTGCCAGTGGTGGAGGTGCTTCTCTGCTGATGGTGGAGGCGGCCAGGCAGATGGGGCACCCATGGGCATGCCACCTGGGGGGGCTTCTGGCACCTGAAGCAGCAACCTCACCCTGCCTAATGACTGGGCCGGCTCTGTTTGGTGGGACTGCTTACATGTAGGATGTTTTCCAACATATCTCCAGATATGTTGGACTCCATCTCCCATCAACCCCAGCCAGCATGACAAATGGTCTGGGATGATGGGTGTTATCATCTAACAGATCTGAGAGGGATCAAAGTTGGGAAGCCTGCAGTATGGGAAGTGATTGCCAAACTCTATTTTTTTTAAATCACTCAAGGTTGATAATTATGGCTGAATGAAGTGTGTTTCATCACCCACCCACAAAGAATGGCTGGTGTGATAGCTCAGTTGGTTGGGCATGAGACTCTTAATCTCAGGGTCATGGGTTCAAGCCCTGTGTTGGGCAAATAATTCCTGCATCGCAGGGGGTTGGACTAGATGACCCTTGTTTTCCCTTCCAACTCTGATTCTTTAAAAAAACTATGAACGGAACACAGTAATCAGGTTTTACTTGGTGTAGAATTCTTGAAATTAACACACCTGAGTCGTGTTATTACTATCAATAGGACTGCTCTGTACAAATTTTAATGGAATACTACCCTTTATTTTAAGCCTACGCCCTCCCTCTTAGTCATCTGCCCAGGGAAAGAGCTTTATCTCTATTGCTGCATGGTTAGAAAGGGGTTGCATTCCTATCTCAGGCATGGAAAATCTACCCTGGCCATGGTAATAGTATCCAGGTGAGACTGCAGACTTAAGGGCATGGATAATTCCAGCTGAAAACTGTTGCATCCATGCCAAGTTAATTGAACTTAGATCTCATTGAACTCATGATTTTGTCAGGCTTTGGGGAATTGGCTCCCTCCCCTGGTGGCAGTAAATAAGCAGATCAAACGAAAGGAGCGTTCTTACCAGATAAGTTCTTTAATAATCACCGTGAGAAGCAAAGGGCTGTATATCTCTCTAAATATTGGCGTTGCTCCCAGTAAAGGTTCACCCCCTCTGTCCCTATTAATCTATGCCACTCCTACGTTGAGTAATCTGAGCTTGTTGCTGTTGCACTTTCTTTTTTATCACTTTCCAAGCCTTTCTAGTCTTAGGCGAAGTGGGGTCAGGAATGCTGTCCAAGGACACTGAATCTGCCAGCTGTCTCTTTCCTGGTGTTTCCTATTCTAGCTGTTCCTCACCCAGTATTTCCAAGCTTTTCCCCTCTGGGCTATGCTCCTCTGCAAACCACTGTTCTAAATCAGTACTGTCCTCCTGCCCTTGGGGGTGGACAGATAAATGGGGGGGGGGGGGCTCCCACCATTCCTCCTCAGTCCAGTCCCTGACAGATTTACTTTGACTTTAATTTTTGAAATCCTTGGTTTATCTTCAGATTTATCTCAGTCTCTTTGTCTCTTCTCCCACCAGGTAGAGCCAAACCAAGGTGGTGGTGTCAAGGATGATGATACAGCCCTAAATGGAATTCGCCTGCACTGCACTGACAGTTCAGTAATTGAGTCTGCAAGCGGACCGTGAGCATCTCTCTTGATTTCATTTCCTTTTTGTTGCAATTTTTTGGAAGGTGTTGGTGGGAGGGGCTGAACTGAAATTTGTTATGCTAGGTTAGACCAGCATGAAGAAACCATAGGGTTCACCTTGCTTTTTCTGACCTCTCAAAGGGAACCAACTCTAGCCTTTTGCTGGCTTCCAACTCAACTTTGCAGGACCCCAAAAAATTGATAGCAGGCCTGGTTTTAGAGGTTGGCACTGTTAGGACTTGCCAGTCCCTGTATCCCATAGGTGACCCAGTATGGACACCTTGAGCTTACTTTCTTAGCTGCAACTCTTGCTCTCTTTACAAGTTCACTGGATCTCTTTGAGCAAGGGACAAGAGGAAGGACAGGGAGCAGCAGCCTCTGGTTATCTTGCCCTCTCCCTCTTGGTTTGCCATAGATGTTGGCCTCAGAGAAGGAGCTAAGTGAGAAGGCAGTGATGAGACTTAAGGAGGCAAACATCTCAGGCCCAGATGATCTTAGGTTGTGTTAAGCAATAATTATGGGAAATGATACATTAAAGTGATAATTAACTGTTTCACAGACTCAGACAGCTACAATACCTGCTTCTGGGTTCCTGGAGAACTGCTTCTGCCCTCACTGGGAGCAGGGAGTGTTGGGGCAGAAAGGAGGGGCAGAGGCAGCTGCTTTGTGAAATTTTGGGCACAACAATACAGAGCCCTTGAGACTTTGGGTGCATCCTCTTGGAATATTCACATGGACCTGATCTATTTAGGTGTAAGCAGAAGGCTCCCCATGTGTTACTAACTAACACCAGTGTCTTCTTTGGCAGGTGGGGAACCTGGACAGGGATTCACTATTGCCCCCAAAGCAATCTGATCTCTTTCTCTCTGAGAGTGGAAGCACCCCGGGGCAAAGGTGATGATACGGCCGCCAACAACATCCAGTTCACCTGTCAAGATGGAACTGGGCTGATGGGCCAAGGACTTACCTGGGGTAATTTTGGCGCATGGAGCAATCACTGCTCCTCTGGTTATATCTGTGGGATCCAGACAAAGGTGGAGGGTCTCCAAGGCAAGGACGATGATACAACACTTAATGATGTGAAGTTCTTCTGCTGTGACTGAACTCTATGTGCCTGAGCCCTTTACAGCGTGTCTCTGCTACTTTTTGGTATTTGTGAAGGTTAACGACAATTAAATATTGTCTTGAGAATTGTGTGTGATTCTTTTGAACAGAATTCTGCACCTATCACTTCTGGATGAGAAGCAATGAAAAATATTAAAGAACTGTTCTTAACCTGAAGCACCACTTTAGCTAATGGTGCCTCTTGCTGCCGCTGCGCCCCCGGAGCATGATTTCTGTTCTCATCCTGAAGCAAAGTTCCTAACCTGAGGTACTATTTCTGGGTTAGTGGAGTCTGTAACCTGAAGCGTTGTAACCTGAAGCATATGTAACCTGAGGTACCAATGTATTGATTGATATTATCCTTCCTAACTCACACTAGCAAATTTCTTCATATAGCAGAGTACTGTACATTCCCGTATCACACAGCAGAAAGTTGGCTGCAGGTTCGTTAGAATCTCTTAAAATAATAAGCAATTCAATCTGGCTTGCCCAGATTGGGATATGTTCCTGGTAAGATCCCTTTAATCCCTCCTAAAAGAATAAAGACACAACAGTCTTATTCATAAGTAACAAAAAGAAGTTTACTCATGATCGGACAGAGCACTGAAGGAAGGGTTTAGGCTTAAAGTTACAGATACATAGAAATAGGTTTACCCCATATGGGAGATAACCCAGGGACTGCTGGCTGAGAGCCAGCAGTGCAGTCCAGGTGAAGCAGGAAGCAGGCAGGACGAACAAGAAGGGAGGTGGCTACATGACTTGGCCTTTTACCAGGTCTGGAAAGGTCATGCCCACCTACTGGTCATATGCAAAGGAAAGGATGCCCCAGCCAGGTGTAACAGGATGTTTAAACTGGCTGGACCAACATTCCCTTGCATGTCCACTCTAGCCAAACAGGTAATGTTGTACTTGACTGCTCCAGTGGATTACATCCCCCTCCACCCCGCATTGGAATATGGGGAAAGAGCAGGGCTGGCTGAGTTGCCCAAGCGGCTGTTACCAAGAGGTGTATGTCACAATACTGTACTGGTAAATGTCTTGGTTATATGCAGCAGCCTTTTATGATATATGGTAAAACCACATGGTAAAATCAACCAGCCTTGAGTGTCAGAAGAGGCTCCCACACCAGAAATTTCAAGGCAGCCCTTCTGCACCAGTAACATAGTCTCTATGGTCAGTGGCTATGACCTCTGTTCACCTGCGTGAGCCAGGCACCCTTAGGCCGCTCCTGCTACTACCATCACCCTGGTCGGATGCGTTGAGCGGTACCAATTGGTGGAACTGAGAAGTGGAGCCGCAACAGCAGCACCTGGTGCCCAACCCCCTCTCCTCCCTGCAGGTCCCAGTGCATCACTGTGAGGGGTTGAGCCATCTCCTTCCCACACACTCGCCCTTCTCCACTCCCTTTCCCTGGTTGTAGAATTTGGAACATTGCACAAGGATGGATTAAGCTTTAGGCAAAATAAACACACACTTATCAAGAGAAGGGGGGCACCACAGAAATTTTCCTTTGCCAGATTTACCATGGACCATATATTGCAGCTGAGGGGAAAAGGCTCCCACAATAAATGGAAGAATTACAGGCATATATACTACCACAAGAGCAGTAAATAACAATAAAATAGTAATAATAGAGATTAATGATATACATCAATACAACAAAATTAGATTCTGGTAATTGGTAAAATGCTACTCGGTCCACCAAGGAAGCATTTGCATGACACACCTACACACTGCAGCTGACAAACTAATGCATCGTGACACAAAGTTTGGAAAGCTCTCGTTTAGGGTTTCTAACGGTCTTAATCTGGCCCTGACCCTGCATGACATGATGAAAAGCGGTGATGGCTTAAGGGTTTTTGTGGTGGTCCCGGTATTTTCTGGGCAGACTATGCATTAATAATAATAATAATAATAATAATAATAATAATAATTTATTTATACCCCGCCCATCTGGCTGGGTTTCCCCAGCCACTCTGGGCAGCTTCCAACAAAATACTAAAATACAATAACCTATTAAACATTAAAAGCTTCCCTAAACAGGGCTGCCTTCAGATGTCTTCTAAAAGTTTGGTAGTTATTTTTCTCTGGTGGGAGGGCGTACCACAGGGCGGGTGTCACTACCAAGAAGGCCCTCTGCCTGGTTCCCTGTAACTTGTCTTCTTGCAGTGAGGGAACTGCCAGAAGGCCCTCGGCACTGGACCTCAGTGTCCAGGCAGAATGATAATGGCAGAGACGCTCCTTCAGGTATACTGGACCAAGGCCGTTTAGGGCTTTAAAGGTCAGCACCAACACTTTGAATTGTGCTCGGAAACATACTGGGAGCCAATGTAGGTCTTTCGTTGGTTACCTATTCATTTCTAGACCCCATTTAAAGAGCAGGACATTAGGTTTAAAGCTCTAGTAGGTTTGGGACCAGGTTATCTGAAGGATTGCCTGTAGCCATTTGAATGTGTCTAGCCCTAGAGATAGGTTTCTCCCATTGAGATATATTGCATCTGTGGGCCCATGCCTGTGGGATTCTCTCATTAGGCACTGAACTAGTGGCCCTAGATAATTGGGGGGTGGGGTGGGGTGGGGAATTATACAGTGAGTCAGTCCCGGACTAGCAACCTTTCTTAACTTCTTACATGCTTATATAATGCAGCCATTTCGAGCCATTGTATATAAACACTTACATAAAGTGGTGACACAGGCATTCTTCAGGGCGCCCTCACCCACAATGCCTCACTCTGAAGAAGGACCTGAAGGAGACCTGCACTGCCGCTTTGCAGGCAGCAGATTGAGAAGGCACACTGGCCAGCAACAACAATGGCCCCATGATCCGCTGGCTGGCTGGCCATTCAGTCAACAACCATCCAAGTGACTGAAGATGGGGCCACTCCTGGCTGTCTCCACTGAACATTCACACCTTTTTAAAAAAAATATAATTTTTATTAACAGGCCAATCAAATCACATTAATTCCAAATCACATTAGTTCCAAATTATACAGCCAGATTTTTAAAATCTTGTTGGGGTACCCATACTTCAAGCTCCGAAAGGGATCCAAACTTCACTCTTGCTGCTGCTTTAATTAAACAGTTCTATCCAGTTCTGTCCAGATAGTCTCCTTGTTATTTTCCTCATCTTCTTGTTGTTATCATATATTCCTTTCTTTGTGATCTCTGATAATCTTCACAAGTGGGTTGAAAACAAACATATCCTGTGTGGGTTTTGCACTCTCCAAGAGTCATATCACATAAAGGACAGATGCCATTTCCACACCTCCGTAAAGAACATTCCCACAGTCTGTCCGTTGATTTCCACAGGCTTGCCAATCTATATCTCAGGGGGCCCTGCCAGGTCAAGATCACATTCTGATAACCATACATTCACATTCCGATGACCCTGGTCCTCCTCCCCCTCGTCCTCCTATGGGCAAGCCTGTCTTAACGAAACTCCATTTATAACTGCGTCATAAAACTTTCTTTCCATTCCCCGATGTTTCCACCAGTCCCCTCTTTGATCAGTAATTCATTTCCACACAGTGCTTAACTCCTGCTTGTGATTAGTAATTTGCAACGATTCTTCTCTCTGGAGGGGACGGTTATTAGTACTCACATAAGACAAAAAAAGAAGTTTTTTCCTCCCCCCCTTTCCGTTTCACTCCAACATACCAATCTTTTAATGATGATTCTTCACTTGATTTATTTGTCCAGCCCGTCGCTCCGCTCACAGAGATCCCATTAATCAGCAGTCTTTACTCCCGATCTTCACTTGATGTATGTGCATTAGCTTCTTTCCAATTATATATTTCCAATTATATATTTCGAGCTAATGCGAACCAGTGCGCGATTAGAGACAGCGTCAGGGAGAGCCGACCTCACCCGAGGGCTTCGTGCCAAGTGTCCTCACCCCCTTCTTTCGAATCTGGGGGTGAATTATGGACACAGCTGCCCCTTGGGGGCATATCAGCCTCTTAATTACCTCGTGTGGGTCGGAGAGATGTTATAGTCGGCCATCTTCCAATGCGCCCCCTGGTGGCCCCCCTGAACATTCACACCTCCTATCTTCAGTATTTGGTGACAGGTCCTCTGTCCTGAATTCTCATTGTAGCTGTTCTTTTTATTATTATTAATTATTTTTATTAAGATTTTGCAACAAATTTTAACATAATCAAAAATTCAAATTACATTTTACATTTTCAATTACGCCCCGCTGACTCCCCACAACGTCCCTTTCTGGTTTATTGCAAATTTACGTCTTCTGCTTATAATTTTGTATGCCTTATGTATTAAAATTAAAGTTGTACCTTGTCAGTCAGTTCTTCACATTTTAACCTCATATTTATGTTTTCTATTTGTATTTGTCCATTGTAAGTGTATTACTCAAATCCTGCAAGTGAGTTCATTTCAGTGCATTGTTTCTGTATATACATCATAAGAGGTTCCCAATCTTTTTAAAAAGTCCGTATTGCCCTTATCTTTAAGTCTCTCAGTTAGCTTCACCATTTCAGTGTATTCTATCAACTTTTCTTGCCATTGTTCTTTCGTTGGTATTTCATCGCTTTTCTGTCTTTGAGCTAGTAGAATTCTGACCGCTGTTGTTGCATACATAAATAAATTCTTGTCTTTTGGTAAATCTTGTCCTATAATACCTAATAAAAAGGCTTCTGGTCTTTTAACAAAGGTTATCTTGAACATATTTTCCCCAATTCATTATAAATCATATCCCAATAGTTTCTAATTATTTTACAATTCCACCACATATGAAAAAATGTACCTTCCTTTTCTTTGCATTTCCAGCATTTGTTGGAGCTTGTTCTATGCATTTTGGCCATTGTCACCAGTGTAATATACCGTATATACATCATTTTCATATAATTCTCTTTCAACAGTATGTAGTCTGTAAATTTTAAATTACTTCGCCATAACTTTCCCCAATCTTCCATGTGTATATTATGTCCTATATCTTGTGCCCATTTAATCATTACTGATTTTACCTCCTCATCTTTTGTCTCCCATTCTAACAATAAACTATAAGTTTACTTTAATAATTTACCATTCTCTTCTGTTATTTCTCTTTGGAATCTAGATGTGGTATAACTAAATCATTCCTTATTGTCTTCCTTAAAAACATCATTTAATTGTCAATGTTGCAACCAGTTGTAAACCGAATCTTTTATTTTATCATAAACTTTAAGCCTTAGTTTCCCTTCTCTTTCTGCCAATAAATCTCTATATGTTGGGCATTTTGCCTCCATATTTATTCTTTTGATTGACATCGCCTGTTGGGGCTACCCACCAGGGTGTTTTTTGCTCTAATAAGTCTTTATATTTTCTCCATACTTTTATTAATGCTTTCCTAATTATATGATTGTAAAATCCTTTATGATTCTTCCCTTTATTATACCATAAATACGCATGCCAACCAAATCTGTTATCATGTCCCTCCAAATCTAATAAATCAGTATTTTCTAACTTAATCCAATCCCGAATCCAAGTAATGCGGCTTGCCTCATAATACAATTTTAAATCTGGAAGAGAGAAACCTCCTCTGTCCTTAACACCTGTTAATATTTTATATTTTATTCTTGGCTTCTTTCTTTCCAGATAAATTTGGATATATCTTTTTGCCACTTCTTAAAGAAAACTGCATCACTTATTACCGGTGTTGTTTGTATTTGAAAAACATTCATTTTGATTGCTGCAATTCTTCCTAATAAGGAAAGATTTGTGTCCCCCCATACTTCTAGATTCCTTTTTACCTCATTCCAGCATTTTTCATAATTGTCTTTATAGATATTAATATTCCTGGTTGTGAGACAAATTCCCAAATATTTAACTTTTTAATGAGTTTCTATTCCTATGATTTGAGACAATTCTTTTTTATCTGCTTCTTTTAAATTTTTAACCAATAATTTGGTCTTGTTTTTATTTAATTTAAATCCTGCTACTTGGCCAGACTCCTGATTTTTTTCTATAACTTTTGGGAGAGAGTCTTTAGGTTCTTCTACCATAATTACAAGATATTCTGCATAGGCTTTTAATATATATGATTTTTTACCTATTTTAATTCCTTTAATATTTTCATCTGCTCTGATATTTCTAGCAAGTACCTCCAACACTAATATAAATAATAAAGGTGATCTGTCTGGGAGGAGGGGATAAAACCGCTCGGGTTCTCTGCATGCTAAGCGGATCCCAAGGGGGGGGGGTAGGGAAGGACGTGCCCTTGTTTTGCTTTGCTTTACCATCTCGGAAACCCTTTTGGCACTAGTTTGTTTGCCTGTGGCTTAGCCTTAATTTAGCGTGGTATTATTCTGGTGAGCGCAGGGGTTTGCCGCTTCGGGGGGTTCTCTGTGCGCATACTGTGCTTGGTACTGAAGGGTTTTGTGCACTGGGGGAACCGCTCCGCACGCACGGGGAGCTTTGATTCACCACAATTGCTTCTGGTGGGCTGTATCTTTACTTTGGGGGGCTTTTGAATGGCTGGAAGCTGCCAAGCTAACAGGGCTTCCGCGGTTGCCCTGACTACACTCGGGACGCTGTCGCCATTTTGTGCGGACCACGTGGTCGGGGGCAGCGGCCATTTTGGGTGAGGCATCTGCCTGCCTGCTACTTTCAGCATAAAGAGTTACTGTATCTTCGCGTAAAGTCTACATTCTAGCTTACTAAGTTACCGTTGCAGAGCAGATTACAGTTGCTTGGGTAGCTAAAGGGCCGCTACATTTTAATTCACCGCGCTACCCATTTTATCAATACGTCACTGGTGGTTACTCTTGAAGCCTTGTGGCTGCCAGCTCTTCAATTGAAGCCTCGAGGCTGCCAGCGCTTTACGCCTTATCCACAACTCATAGCCCTGCCGGATTTATTGAAAATCATTCCCCGGCTGAAATTAATAATTCATTCAGGGTTTCTTAGGAAGAACTTGTTCTTGCGTTTTAATTTAAGATAATTCATTGTGCCTTGGTATAATTCATTGGAAGTTTTTGGCGTAATTCAGGCTGGTGCATTCATTGCTGGATTTATTGGAAGCCTGCACTTTTAATCCTCCTATTGCCCGGTTTTAACAGTAGCTATTTATAGCAACAAATAAACAGATATGGTCTATTTAGATATTGAAATATCCCGCTACATTAACATTTGATAATTATTAATATTAAGGTTAGGATAAATATTAGTAATAATAAATAAATGAATAATTAAATTAAAAAAAATAAAAATAAAATAATAATAATAATAATAATAATAACAGTTTTAATAACAAATTAATAATAAAAAAGCAGAAATCTACAGAAGTGAATAGACAGCTACATACATACATACACATTTTTACATTCATACATCCTTGCGCAATAAGGTGCGATACCATGGCAAACAGAGGGAATCCCCAGTCATCCCAGGTGGGTACAGCGCTGGTGCCCGTCGCGCCGTGTAACCCTCAAGCTTTGGCTCAACTCTTCTCTGCGCTTCAAACCTTTTATGCTCAATGCAGTGCTCCGGCGACGGGGTCTGCTTCAATAGTGGAGCTTCCCCAGGATTGCATCCCAGACACCCCTCCCAACAACCAGGAACGGGCAGGCCCTTCTGCAGCTTCATCTAGCAGGGCGGGGCATCAAGGCCTAGGGTCGTCCGAGCGGCGGCTGACCCGCTCGCAATCTGCTGCCGTGCAGAAGGCTAAGGCTGGAGCACAAAAAACCAAGCCCAGTGCACAGAAGGACAAGGCCGGTGCACAGAAGTCGAAGTCCAAACTACCGTGGTCCACCTGGGCTAATTCAAGTCAGGAGGTAATCGGTATTCCTAGTGTCTTTCAGGATCCTCCGGCTCAGCACAGCCCGTCTGAGGGGTCATCCTCTGATGAGGAGTTACCCCCCCAGCAGGCGGCTACAACTTCCAATGACCCAGCCCCCCAGGAGAGCAGTAAAGGGAAGCGTAAAGCGAAGAGGAAGCATGTGTCTAAGAAGAGCAGGAGGAGCGACCCATCTGATTCCGAGGATGAGACAGGTACCTCTTCTTCAGAGGGTGATAGTGATGCTCCCATGGAAATGTACTGGGGAGAGGGCGAACAGACTGGTGCTCCTTTGTGGATGCATGAGAGGAGGGCCAATTCTCACCGGAAAACCTTTAACGGTACCCTTGAATGGAAGGATGGGGCCCTAGTGGAAGATGTTAAAGTTTCAACTCACTTGTCTACTGACTTTATCTTGGGTAATCACCTCTCTAAGAGGAAAAGGGATAAGATTCTGAATGGGGATTTCATAGATATGTTCACGTTGCTACCACCGGCAGAAATAAAAGGAAAAGGGGAGAAAAAGAGGTATTATGGTAAGAAAAGATATAGGTCCCCGTGGGTGGAGCGTACATTCGAGAACTGGCTCAACGGCTACCAGGTATTCATGGGGATAGTGTTAGGATGTTATCCAAAACGTGGGTTGCACCTTGCATCTTATCTGGCGCACGTGAGAAGGGCTCGTGAATTAGAATCATAGAATCATAGAATCATAGAATCATACAGTTGGAAGAGACCACAAGGGCCATCGAGTCCAACCCCCTGCCAAGCAGGAAACACCATCAGAGCACTCCTGACATATGGTTGTCAAGCCTCTGCTTAAAGACCTCCAAAGAAGGAGACTCCACCACACTCCTTGGCAGCAAATTCCACTGTCAAACAGCTCTTACTGTCAGGAAGTTCTTCCTAATGTTTAGGTGGAATCTTCTTTCTTGTAGTTTGGATCCATTGCTCCGTGTCCGCTTCTCTGGAGCAGCAGAAAACAACCTTTCTCCCTCCTCTATGTGACATCCTTTGATATATTTGAACATGGCTATCATATCACCCTTAACCTCCTCTTCTCCAGGCTAAACATGCCCAGCTCCCTTAGCCGTTCCTCATAAGGCATCGTTTCCAGGCCTTTGACCATTTTGGTTGCCCTCCTCTGGACACGTTCCAGTTTGTCAGTGTCCTTCTTGAACTGTGGTGCCCAGAACTGGACACAGTACTCCAGGTGAGGTCATAGAATCATAGAATCATAGAGTTGGAAGAGACCACAAGGGCCATCGAGTCCAACCCCCTGCCAAGCAGGAAACACCATCAGAGTACTCCTGACATATGGTTGTCAAGCCTCTGCTTAAAGACCTCCAAAGAAGGAGACTCCACCACACTCCTTGGCAGCAAATTCCACTGTCGAACAGCTCATTACTGTCAGGAAGTTCTTCCTAAGGTTTAGGTGGAATCTTCTTTCTTGTAGTTTGGATCCATTGCTCCGTGTCCGCTTCCCTGGAGCAGCAGAAAACAACCTTTCTCCCTCCTCTATGTGACATCCTTTTATATATTTGAACATGGCTATCATATCACCCCCTAACCTCCTCTTCTCCAGGCTAAACATGCCCAGCTCCCTTAGCCGTTGCTCATAAGGCATCGTTTCCAGGCCTTTGACCATTTTGGTTGCCCTCCTCTGGACACGTTCCAGTTTGTCAGTGTCCTTCTTGAACTGTGGTCTGACCAGAGCAGAATACAGTGGCACTATTACTTCCCTTGATCTAGATGCTATACTCCTATTGATGCAGCCCAGAATTGCATTGGCTTTTTTAGCTGCCGCGTCACACTGTTGGCTCATGTCAAGTTTGTGGTCAACAAGACTCCTAGATCCTTTTCACATGTACTGCTCCCAAGCCAGGTGTCCCCCATCTTGTATTTGTGCCTCTCCTAGATCCTTTTCACATGTACTGCTCCCAAGCCAGGTGTCCCCCATCTTGTATTTTGCCTCTCATTTTTTTTGCCCAAGTGCAATACTTTACATTTCTCCCTGTTAAAATTCATCTTCTTTGTTTTGGCCCAGTTCTGTAATCTGTCAAGGTCGTTTTGAAGTGTGATCCTGTCCTCTGGGGTGTTAGCCACTCCTCCCAGATTGGTGTCTTCTGCAAATTTGATCAGGACGCCCTTAAGTCCACCATCCAAGTCGTTGATAAAGATGTTGAATAAGACCGGGCCCAAGACAGAACCCTGTGGCACCCCACTAGTCACTCTTCTCCAGGATGAGGAGGAACCATTGATGAGCACCCTTTGGGTTCGGTCAGTCAGCCAGTTACAAATCCAGTGAGTGGTAGCATAGTCAAGACCGCATTTTACCAGCTTCTTTATAAGAATATCATGGGGCACCTTGTCAAATGCCTTGCTGAAATCAAGGTAGGCTACATCCACTGCGTTCCCTTCATCTACCAGGCTTGTAATTCTGTCAAAAATGAGATCAGGTTAGTCTGACATGACTTACTTTTCAGAAATCCATGCTGACTATTGGTGATCACAGCATTCCTTTCTAGGTGCTCACAGACTGTTTGCTTAATGATCTGCTCCAGAATCTTCCCTGGTATTGATGTCAGACTGACTGGGCGGTAATTATTTGGGTCCTCTCTTTTCCCCTTTTTGAAAATAGGGACAACATTTGCCCTCCTCCAGTCTGCCGGGACTTCGCCTGTTCTCCAGGAATTCTCAAAGATGACTGCCAGTGGTTCTGAGATCACATCTGCCAGTTCTTTTAATACTCTTGGATGCAGTTCATCTGGCCCTGGAGACTTGAATACATCTAAACTAGCCAAGTATTCTTGTACTATCTCCTTAGTTATTCTGGGCTGTGTTTCCTCTGCTGAATCATTTGCTCCAAATTCTTCAGGTCGGGCATTGTTTGCGGGAGATGAGGCTGCCATCTCGTACAACGAGGATTTTGGTAGGAATGCCTCGCTGTTGTCCTCCACACGCTGGGATCAGAGGGACAATAACTACTGGATGGAGCACGTGGGGCCTTACATCGAAAAGAAAACAAACAACCAAGCTAAGTCTGGTAAGGTGGACACAAAGCGTCGTAAGCAATGCTGGGATTTCATTAAAGGGGCCTGCCAGTGTACCGCTTGTAAGTACTTGCACGAATGTGATAAGTGTTTAGGCAGCCACCCGGCTATCAACTGCTACAAGGGTAAACAACAGCCCTTTCGAGGCGGCAGGGGTCACCTCCACCAGGGAAACCGGGGTGCCCCCTCTGGTGCTTCAGGAACCGCCCAAGGGACAGCAGGGAATCGCTACTAATTTGTCCCTCGTCCTAGCTCACTCTCCGATTAAGCTCCAACCCCTAAGAACGTTGTTAAACCTATATCCTAATAGACAAGCCGCTCTTCTTTTATGGGAGGGGTTTTCCCAAGGGTTCAGAATTCCAGTCGCCTTCATTCCCAATTCCGGTTGCCCCCCCAATCAGAATTCAGTTTTAGAGAGACCTGACATTGCTATGAAAAAGATTCAGAAAGAAATTTTGGCCGGGAGGGTGGCTGGCCCTTTTGTGGAACCTCCCATTGATCAGCTGCATATTTCACCGCTCGGCATTGTCCCAAAAAAGGCCCCTGGGGAATTCCGGATGATTCACAACCTTTCTTACCCCAAGGGGGCCTCAGTTAATGATGCTATCCCACAAGAACTGTGCACGGTGAAGTGCGCATCTTTTGATCAAGCAGTGAAGTTGGTCTGGGGATTTGGTAGGGGCGCTTTTCTGGCCAAATGCGACATCGAATCTGCATTTCGCCTTCTTCCAGTTCACCCAGAGGACTATCGTTGGTTAGGTTTTAAATTTCAGGGTGCTTATTTCATTGATAAAGCGATGCCTATGGGCTGCTCGATTGCCTGTGCCGCTTTCGAGACTTTCAGCACCTTCCTGGAATGTGCGCTGAAATTTAAAACTGGTTCCAAAGGGGTGGGGCATTACTTGGATGACTTTATTTTGGTCGCAAGTAATGCAAATGACTACATGGCCTTGCTACAGGCCTTCAAGTCCATGGCTGAGGAGCTGGGTGTCCATTTAGCAAACGAGAAGACGGAGGGCCCGGTCACCACAATGACTTACTTGGGCATTGAACTCGACACAGTGGCCCAAACTTCTCGCCTACCTACCGAGAAGTTGGTTGCCCTAAAATATCTTATTTTGCAGATATTGCCCCTAAGGAAGGTTACCCTGAAGCAAATTCAATCACTGTTGGGTCACCTCAACTTTGCGTGCCGTGTTGTGTCCTCCGGTCGCCCCTTTTGTGGTCGGTTGGCAAAGCTGTCAGCAGGTTTACGTCGCCGCATCATAGGGTGCACCTCTTGAAGGCAGTAAAATCAGATCTCCAGGTTTGGCTGCAATTCTTAGATGGCTTTAATGGTATTTCACTTTGGCAAGATAGCAGGGCCCTGCAAGCTGATTTCCAGGTGCATTCAGACGCAGCCGGTTCCTTGGGATTCGGCGTCTACTTCAGAGGTCAGTGGTGTGCACAACGATGGCCCGCTTCATGGCAGGGAAAACCCATACTACGTGATTTAACATTCTTAGAATTCTTCCCTATTGTAGTTCCAATTCATCTTTGGGCTGAGCAATTTAAAGACCACAGGGTTTGCTTCTGGACAGACAACCAAGCGGTGGTGTCGGTCTTAAATAAGCAATCTTCCCATTCCCCCAGAGTAGCGTCGCTTTTACGATATTTTGTCCTTTCCTGCCTCAGGCTAAACTTATATGCCTCAGCCAGATTTGTTCCGGGTATTGATAACAACATTGCAGATGCTCTGTCTCGTTACCAGATGGATCGCTTTCGCTCATTGGCGCCGGATGCGCAGCAGCTGCCGCAGCCATTTCCGGAACACCTCTGGAGTATTGGCAACGAGAAGCGATAAAGGGAGTATTGTCAGCAGTTGCACCCTCAACCCTAAGATCCTATAACAAGGCGTGGTTAGATTTCACATCATTTCGCCTGAAGAAAGGGCTGTTTAAACCGGGCCGGCCCCCGACTAAGTCGGAGGACATTGAATACCTCGTGCGCCTCCGTGACCTATGTCGGGCCCCCAAAACCCTCAATATTCATTCTGCTGCAATATCATTCTTCTCCAAAGCTCTGTTCTCAGTCGACCCCTGTGCACACTTCGTGGTGCGGAAGATGCTGGAGCGCTGGCGCAGGTCTCAGCCTCCTAGCTCCGACAGCAGAAAACCGATAACTTATGACATACTCATATAAATACGCAAGAAACTCAAGGCTATCTGCTGGTCTAGGTATGAGGCCAGGTTATTTTCCATAGCCTTTTCATTCGCCTTCTTTGGCGCCTTGCGCATAGGCGAGGTGGTCTGCGAGGAACAACCAGAGAGTAACAACAGGGGACTCCTTTTAGAGGATGTGACCTGGTCATCATCAGAGGTAATCCTAAAAATTCACAGCTCAAAGACCGATCAGCTTGGCAGAGGGGCACTAATCCGCCTGCAGGCTACTCAGAAGGCGGGCCCCTGCCCAGTTAAGGACTCAAGAAAGTTTTTGTGTTTAAGGCCTAAAACAAGTGGCCCTTTTTTCATACTTGCAGATGGCTCTCGCCTGTCTAAGCACCAGTTCACGAGGGTTATGCGCAAGGCGATCGCGGCCATGAGGCTGCCACCTGAGGAGTACGCTGCGCACTCTTTCCGCATTGGGGCTGCGACCACCGCCGTGCATATGGGTTTACCAGCTGAGAGGATAATGGACATGGGACGTTGGAAGTCGAACACGTACAGGGGTTATATCCGGAAACTGTGCTAACGCCCCTCCCTTCCGCATCACCCCCCCCGATCCGGCTCTCTTGCTCTTTCATTTTCAGGTGTCGGTGCGGTGCGTCTGTGGATCATTGGCCACAGCATTGTTCACTGGGCGAGGTTGCGAGCAGATACTAGGGGATGGTACGGCGATCTGCAGCTCCCAATCAATGTTGAAGTTTCCTGGATTACACGTCGTGGAATGCGTTGGGAGGAATTCCTCCCAGCAGTATCAAAAAGAATTGCAGTTGATGGCCCACCCGATGCGCTGGTCATCCAACTGGGCGAGAATGACCTGGCTTACAGAAAGGGGGTGGACTTAATGTGGAATATTTTCTCTGACCTGGACGACTTGCTGGCCTCCTGTCCGAATCTAACAATTATATGGTCATCTTTGCTTGAGAGGCGCTGTTGGAGGGACGCCGCAAATCCTGTGGCGTCCAGGAGGATCCTGGAGTGCTCGGTGGCACGTAGAGTGGTTGCGTTGGGCGGACGGGTCATCGGGCACCCACACATCCAGTTTAGCTTGGAAGCACTCTACCGCGGGGATGGCGTGCATCTATCTGATGCTGGGAATGATATTTGGCTTTCGGACATTTTTCAGGGGATCAGGGATTGGTAACAGGTCTGAGGGTATTGGCGGCGAGCCTGGCTCGCGTGGCGGTTAGGCATTGGCAGGGGTATTGTTATGCAAATGAGTTGGGGGGGAGGAGCGCCATCACCTCCCCCAAGATCTTGAAGGGTAGTTCGTTAAAGGACTCCGGGGGGCGTCGCCTTGTCTGAAACCTATGGAGGCTAGGGCCTAAAGTGCGCTCCCGAGCGGTAACCCCTCAGGGAGCGCCTAGGGATGTGCATCTCGGGGGCTCCCCCTGTTGGTGCTTAACCCTTCCCGGTTTACCGGATAGTCTGATAGGGCCAATGCCTAAAGCCAATACCGCTCTTACCTGTAATCAATAAAGTTGTGGCCATTTACGCCCATTAACCTAAATTCTGGTGTCCAGTGTCTTTATTTCATCTGGAGGAGGGGGCGGGAATCGCCACGCAATTAATTTTGCTTTTTGGTCTGAATATATGGCTTGAATTCCTTTCCTAAATTTATCTCCAAATTTCATTTCTTGAAAATTTTCACCATGAATTCCCAAGAGACATTATCGAAGGGTTTTTCCGCATCTATGAACATCAGTGCTGCTTCTTTTTCATTTCTCAATTCCAGGTATTCTATGATGTCAATAATATTCCTAATATTATCCTTCATTTGTCTTCCTGGAAGGAATACGGCCTGATCTTGATGTATATAATCTTTCAGTACTAATTTCATCCTATAGGCCATTATGTTAGTAAATAGTTTATAATCATTATTTAATAATGAAATCGGTCTATAATTATTAACTGCTAACACATCAGCCTCTTGTTTTGGAATTAAAGTTATATATGCCTCTTTCTATGTCTCTGGGGCTTTCCCTGAAGTTAAGATTTCATTCATTATCTCCTGTAATGGTTTCAACAATTTATTGTTCAATTTCTTATATTATTTTGCTTTTAATCCGTCTGGTCCTGTCGATTTCTCTATTTTTGCTAAGTTGATTGCATCTAGTATTTCCTGTATAGTTATGTTGGCATTTAAAATTGTTAATTTCTCTTCTGCTATCCTTGGCAGAGTACTACCCTTCAGGTATCGATCTATATCTTTACTTTTTTCTCTTCCTTTTGTATATAGTTCTGTAAAATATTTAACAAAAGCCTTCCTAATTTCTTAGGGGTTGTCTATAATTTTGTCATTTAATTTTATTTTCTTTATAAATTTTTTTGCTCATTTTTATTTAACTGCCATGCTAATAATTTCCCTGGTTTGTTTGCATACTCAAAATATTTCTGTTTCATTCTTTTTATCTTCCACTCTATTTCTTGGTTAATAATCATTGAATATTGTGTTTGTAACAATTTTATTGCTTGTTTTATGGACTCTTTATTTGGTCTGTTTATTAGCTATCTTTCATTTTTCATTAATGCCTCTAAAATCTCCCTTTTCTTTTTCTCTCTCTGTTTTCTTCTGTACGTGTTTTGCTGAATAAATAGACCATTCACGATCGCTTTACTGGCATCCCATACTACTTGAATTTTGGTGTCTGTCAGGACTGGTCGTTGTCCTCTTCAGATCACCACACAAACGCTTCTTGTTCTTTTATAACTTTTTATTGCGTATTAACAAAACAATCTTATAAACGGTTCTTAAATATTATTCCTCAGAGTCACTTATTTCAGATACCTTCTGAGCTCTGCTTCTCCATGACCAGCCACTCTCAAAATGTCGAATGCGCCCTTCCCTTCACTTTCCCGCTCTTTTTTCTAACCTCCTGGCTAGAGCTGGCCTGTATCTCCCCTCCTCCGAATCTGAGCTAGAACTTAACCCTTGCCTTTCCTGTGAACAGCTGGTTCCTCCCTGTTGTTCTCTTCTATTAGATTCACTGCTCTCCTTCCCCCCTTGGGGAATGCTTTCTCCCTCTGAGAAACTGGAAACTTCTAACTCTTCCCTGACAGTGTCTTTGTTAAGATTTAGATCAAAATAATCTTCTAAGGTTTTTTGTGCTTTTTCAAAAAAATTTAGATCCTCTAACAAGTCCTCATTTTATCTCCAACTAAAAGTGGATTGAATTTCATCTTGCATTTCCAAAAATACAGGGCTATGATCTGATATTGTTCTTGGGATAATCTGTATTTTCCTTACCCTCAACTCTAATTCTTTAGACACCCATATCACAGTGATTCTTGCACTTTTCCCATGTACATTAAAGTGAAATGTGAATTCTCATTGTAGCTGTTCTAAGGGTGTGGATATAGCACCCAAGTGAGTTGCAGGACTTCATCAAGACAGAATAGTTTACTTTTTGCAGGTTTATTTTGGCTAGAAGAGGTTCCAACTCAAATACCCTGCTGCTCTGAGAAGCTTATCAGAATCAAACTATTTCCTTAACCCCCAGCCAATATTGATACACAATAGGTATTTAATGCAAATATATCTACAGGTGGTGCTTTCTTGTAGTGGCACCTTCTCTTGTCTTTCACCTTTCCTGAATTCTCATTGTATCTGTTAGGGTGCTCACTGGAAGGACAGATCCTGAAGCTGAGGCTCCAATATTTTGGGCACCTCATGAGAAGAGAAGACTCCCTGGAAAAGACCCTGATGTTGGGAAAGATGGAGGGCACAAGGAGAAGGGGACAGAGGATGAGATGGTTGGACAGTGTTCTTGAAGCTACCAGCATGAGTTTGACCAAACTGCGGGAGGCAGTGGAACACAAGAGTGCCTGGCATGCTCTGGTCCATGGGGTCACAAAGAGTTGGACACAACCAGATGACTAAATGACAACAACAGAATATCCAAGTGTGTTGCTGTACACTGTGGAGGCAGAGGAGATTAATTTTTGCAGGATTAATTCCCCTTGGTTGAGTTCAAGCTCAGATTCTCAGTAACTCTGGGGAGTTCAGTGGAATCCATCTGTTTCACAAAGTTCCTGGCCAGTACTGAAATGATGTGGTTTTAACGAAACTCTGTCTAGAGGTGGTGTTACCTAATCTCTTACTGTGTTCTGAAATAAGTGAACAGCTGAAATTTCTGGGCTATAAATTCTCAAGGCTGCTATTCTTTGATGGACTCTTTCCACATTGTTCAGAATAGATTGCTTTCCATGGACTTCACCATCACTGCTATGCTCTTCTTGATCCTCTTCAGCTGCCTTGCCCATGCAAAAGACAAGAACTATAATTCTATCCTCACAGTGCCAAATGGAGGACCATGGGGCACTTGGGGGACGATCCAATTTTGTCCACGGGGATATGCTCATGGCTTCTCACTGAAGGTAAGGTTTGCTGTTGGGTTGCTTTCACAATCAGATCTCTCTCTCCTTCCTTTGTTTTTTTCTGAACACTCCCCAGAACACAGTTTTTGAACTCAACAAGAAATGTGGGGAAGCAAGAGGACAGGGATGGACTCCTAACTAAGGAGATGCTAGGCCAAATGGCCAGAATTGCTATCAAATGTTCCCTAACCTCCATTATCCACAAAGGAATGTGTTAAGGAGATAAGGATAAATGGTCATAAATAAGCGGCAGGGAGGAAAGGAGTCTGCCAGCTGCAAGAAGAGAAGTTTTTGGATTAACTATCTGCAGTCTGGATTCAGACTGTTCTTCCGAGGCTGGAAAAACAGCAAAGACAGCTTGTTTACTGGAAGCTGAATCACGGGACAAAGGGATGCAGTGAGTTTTGGAAACTGTAAGAGAACAGCTTCTCCCAACCAACCAGCTTCTCCTGCAACCAACAGTTGCAGGAATAAAGGATACAACACCATATAGTGTTGTATCATTGTATATAACACCATATTGTATACAACACCATATAGTGAGAAGTGAGGTTACAGGGAACCAGGCAGAGGGCCTTCTTGGTAGTGGTGCCTGCCCTGTGGAACAGCCTCCCATCAGATGTCAAGGCAATAAGTAACTACCTTACTTTTAAAAGACATCTGAAGGAAGCCCTGTTTAGGCAAGTTTTTAATGTTTAATGCTGTATTATGTTTTAATATTCAGTTGGGAGCCGCCCAGAGTGACTGGGAAACCCAGCCAGGGGGGCGGGCAGTGCCGGATTTACGTATAAGCTAAACAAGATATGGCTTAGGGCCCCCACTCTCTTGGGGGCCCCTCAAAAAATTAAATGGAAAAAACCTGGATGTACATTTCCAAAATTTAAGTTTAACAATTACTTTGATAAAATACATATTTTGTTATGTGCAAATGGCTTTAGCTATGTTTAAGTTCCTTAAATGACCATATAGCAGATATTCAACACAAAAAACAGCGGCAATTTGTTGTTGACAAAGGACAGCAGGACATATAAAGGGCCCCATTACCTTCAGTAGCTTACGGCGTCATCAAACCTAAATCCGGCCCTGTGGGCGGGGTATGAATTATGATTGCATTATTATATGGATGGGAAAGCATCATGGAAAAAATTATCACAGGCAGGAAAGAATAAGGATTACAGCTAAAGTTCCTCACTTGAAACTTTATAAATTACCTATTATATCAACACTAATTGAAATCACAAGATTGTAGCTGTTATATAGGAGATTATTTTTACTCAGTGGAATGGAATGGAATGGAAATTATTAAAATTTTGGAACTCAGAAAAAAATGTAATGCAGTATTGCCAAGTCATGTTTTGGTCTGCCATTTAGATTCAAAATGGCGCCTGGTACCCGAAATTCCACAAAGACCCTCACCTCAGGAACCATTAGGGCCAGGTTTGGTGACACTATCTCAAGAGGTGGCCATACTAATAGAGAGCATACAAATGGAAAAACCATTTCCCAAAATATATACTAGATTGATGTCAGTAGTTCAGCAGTTCAAATTTATCACACTCTCTGCATATCTTTTCCCTCTAGGTAGAGTCAGTTCAAGGCCGTGGTGATGACACAGCCCTCAATGGAATCCGCCTGCACTGCACGGATGGTTCAGTTATTGAGTCTTCAGTTGGACCGTGAGTGGCTTTCTTGCTTTCTTCTCCGCTTTGGTTCAATTCTTTGGAAGATACTGGTTGAAGGAGCTGAACTGAAATTTGTTAGGCTTAGATCAGCCTAACTGTTAGGGTTAGATCAGCACCAGATAGGAGGGCAAGTCAACATGGCTACCCAGTTCTCTTTTGGGGGGGGTGATTGAGCAGTGGCAACCAACATCAAGTGTCTACCACATCTCTTCCTAAGATAGTATCGCTTACCCATCATTCCATACCTCTCCAAGATCCTGTTGATAGGAGATCCCTGAATTTGACCAACTGCTCCCTCTGGCCCAGTCCCTAGTTGCTGGTTTCTCATTCTTCTTGAGGAAGAAGTGGAGGGCCAAAGTCCCATGCCCCACATTGCATCTTCTGATGTCCTATTAACATCGTCTCAGGGTTCTGTTTCCTCAGAAGAGCTACCTGGCTCAAAACAAGTTGAGCCCCAATAAACTGATGCTTCTCCCCATTTCAGGTTTCCCACCTCTTTTCCAGTAAACAGATAATTATTCTGGGTCATCTCAGACCCAGAAGATCTTAGGCTGTGTCAAACAATATTTATTGCAGATATCAATGTGTAATTTAACAGTTTCATAGACTCACACACCGATAATACCTGATTCTGTGATCATAGGTTTCTCTGCCTTCACCAGGAGTGGAGGGTAGAGGGGAAGGAAGGAGCAGCAGGTACTTTCTGAATATAATGCAAAGCCTTTGAGACACTATGAGCATCCTCTTGTAATGCTAGTAACTGCCTGATCCCTTTTGGAGCAAGCAGATTCCTGTCCCATTTCTAATTAACGGTCAGTGTCTTCTTTGGCAGGTGGGGATCCTGGACAGGGATTCAGTATTGCCCCCGTGGCAATCTAGTCTCTTTCTCTCTGAGGGTGGAAAACCTCAGGGCAAAGGTGACGATACTGCAGCCAACAACATCCAGTTCACCTGCCAAGATGGTACTGGGCTGATGGGCCATGGACTTTCCTGGGGTAATTTTGGTCCATGGAGCAGTCGCTGCTACTCCGGATTCATTGATGGCGTTCAGACAAGGATGGAGTCTCCCCAAGGCAAGGGCGATGACACAGCACTCAATGATGTGGTGTTCTTTTGCAGTGGCTGAACCCCAAGTACCTCCCTGTATCTCTGCTGCTTTTCAGTAGTTATGAGCGTTAACCACAATTAAATACTTGCTTGAAAGTAGTGTGTGATTCTTTTCATTTTAATTACTTGGTTATCTCTTCTGGAGGAGAAGCATATCTCTCATCTCTCATCTCTCATCTATCATCTATCTATCTATCTATCTATCTATCTATCTATCTATCTATAGCTATCTATAGCTATCTATAGCTATCTATCTATATCTATCTATCTATCTATCGATCATCTATCTATATCATCTACTATCTATCTATCTATCTATCTATCTATCTATCTATCGAGTGACTGGCCAAAGCTCACGCTGTGAGCATCATGGCCAAGTGGGAAGATCTGATACAATGGCCATACTTACTCCCTGTTAGATCATTAGCTAGTCTGGATTCTGATCTAGCATATCTAACATATCCAGAATACAAGATATGAGGGGAAGTGTGGAGGCACTATTCTGTCCATGTCCATCCTGCTTGCTTTGAACACACATGCACCCTAATGCATCCCAAATGCATCAGAAACATGAATACTAATCCAAGACCAGTCCTCCCATATGTACAGCACTGAGGTGGGGGAGGGGGTGGAAAGAAGAGGGGCAAGAACCCCCCTGAAGGAGTTAACACCCTACTTGCCCCTCCAACTCCTGGTCTCTTTGCGGCTTTTGTAGTCCACCCCCCACCCTGCTGGAATGTTCTTTTTTTCTGGTAATGCTGCAGCATGATAAATGGAACCAAAATGGATCGACTTTTGCAGATTTACCTTGCTTTGGACTAATTGCAGTACAGATTCACAGAAACTGAGTGGTTTATCTGAATCAAACTATTTCCTAAAGTGTTGACACACAATGTTTACGGCAACTCGTGTCTACTGGTGCTGGGGCTGCACAGGGTCTGGAGAGAGAAAAGGGCTCAGTCTCTTAGATTACTTGAATAATAAAAAAAGAGAGAGGTGTAGGAATAACGAGGACGACAGGAGGTTAGATGCAGGTGAGCTGTGCAGAAACACGCTGGCAAGCGTGCTCCAAGCAGGCTGCCGGCTTGTTCCTCAGAGGCTCATTTTATTAGCAGAAGTCAACAATTGGAAGCAGTAGTGAAACCACTCTGAACATGACGTATTTTCATCTAAGCACATTTCCATTATTATCAAATACACATGTCAGCAGGTGTTTCCCTAAAATGTTCCCCAATACTTGATTATATCTGTGTCCCTGGTCATGCTCCAGCCAAGCATTATGTCTAGTAACCAAATCTGAGAGAGGACAAACAGTCAGGGGAAAAACCCTGTTTGCTAGACAAGAGGCAGAAGCTCAGGGAGCGTGGGCGCAAGGCTCCTTGGCGCACTGTTGCATGCCGGGTGCGAGGTGTGCCTCAGCACAAGCGGAGCGTTACTTCCACAGAGAGGGAAGAAAGGGCGCCTCTAGGCCCATTAGAATGAAGGTTTTGAAGCAAGATGTGCAGGCAGCTTTCAAAAAATAAAAAAATCCTTTTTTGCTGTATTACAACAACCACAATCCCTGAGAAGGTCGTTATGGGCTAACATGTCTTCCTTAACTTCTATAAAGCAGACATTGCAAGCCACGATAGAGAAGTTTAAATAAAGTTTATATAAGATCTCAGGACAGGTGTTCTCCAGGCTGACATAATCCACAATGCCTCGCTCTGAAGGAGGGTCCTGGGTTCCCACCATGGCTATCCATAGAAGTGGCTGCATAATCAACTGGC